CGCAGCACCCCGCGGGCAGGCGCGCTCACCGTGCAAGCCGTGCTCTCGCCGTCTGACAGCCGCTGGCGCAGGTCGAACCAGAGGGTCTGGGAAAAGGGGGCAAAGCAGTTGTAATCGATGGCCTGGCTGGACTTGGCAAACGCCAGACGAAAGACAAACTGGGACTGAGGCGTCTCTTGACTGAGGTGTCAAGAGCCGAAGAGCTAATAAAGGCAGTAATTAACTGGTGCTTATCTTATCAGACAAAGTAAGGGGGGACAGCCCATCACTGTAACCCCAGTGATCTGTGGGGCGCTGCGGAGGCTGGGCAGCCAGAGATTGCTTCAGAGATTGCTTTGGATAAAGCACAGATGGCCCCCGGATGTGCATACTGAGATGCCCGCTCCGAAGGCGTCACACTGCTGAGTCCCGCTCCTGACGACACGACATCCCATGCCAAGAGCCAATCGATACACAATGATTGACTGAGTCCCACCTCGCCAAAAGATTTCCAAACATATAAAAACTGGCACTTGAAAACTCTCTTTGGGAGGAGGAGCCAAGCGAGAACTTCACCTGACGGACGGGTCGACGGGCCTGAACCTCTCTTCCCCCCCAAGAAGGGACGCCTTTTTGGTCAGAGTCACGCCTCTGACTTTGGCAGATGTACCCCTGGGAACACATTGTTAACTAAAACACTAAACTATTCCTTTGAGCTCAGTTTTTGTAGACAGTGCATTTATCAACAGCAGTCCCGAATCTGTGATACCTGTCGCTTGAGTAAATTACCTATTGCTTAAACTTTGTGAAACTGTTCAGTGAAAGTCCTTGGAGGGGCTCTGGCAGGCAAGTTGAATCTGAGAAGTAGCCACACACTTCACCCTTTAGACCTAAACCGTTGACCAAGTCTGGAACTAGGAGCTGATCCAGCCACACCTGGACTCTCCTCTGAGAGAGAGTTTAGAACGCAAGGGGTCTGCTCTGAACCTCATAACTCAGCGGGAGGGCTCTCCTTTTGCCGCTTATCAGACTCCCCTTACCCCCCTTTAAAGTGACAGTGGTGGAGGGGTGGGCTGAGGCTGCGTGTCCCTCCCAGGCTGCGGTCCCCAGCGCTGGGCACGACGGCTGTGCCCTCTCTCCGCAGGGGACGGCTCTGAGAGCCGTTTGCACCCTCCCGTCCTCCCGTCAGGACCCTTGGCAAAAGCTCCCCGTGCTCCCAGCGTAGCTGGCATTGCCGCCACCGTGTCCTCGCACAGCCCCAAAACTGTCACCGCCTCGACGCTGTCCCTGCATCGCCCTGGGGACACGGGAGCAGGGGTACCCACTCCCTCTCAACGCCTGCTCGCACCTTCCCCAGCCCCAGGCACACTCTTACACCCTTTGGTGACCACAATAAACATTTTTCTGCCCTCAACCGCTGCTTTCCCCCTGTCCCGCTCCCTTCCCCTTCCACCATGAAAATGGAAACACGGAGGATTTCAGAAACCTCTCCTGCACCGCAGAGTTTTCTCCTTCCATCCCTAGATGGAGGAAGACAGCCTCTGCAAGAGATGGTGCCTTCTTCTTTACGTCTTTCATGTTTAAATAAACTCGCAGTCCATCGTTCCACACTCGGTAGCTGCTGTCAGCTCATCGGAAGTCACATCCTCCACCACCACCAGCAACCCACCCGTGGCCCCCGCACGGCACGGCACAGGGCCAGGCACGGCTGCCCCTTGGTCACCTCCAGGTCCCTCGGGGCTGCAGGGACACCCAAGGGACAGCCCTGCACGCGGGAATGCTGGACCTCACCTTGTCCTCCAGCCTGCAGAGCAGCTGGGCC